CCAAGTGTGGATTTACCCTGTGTGTTGGATTTAATAAATTACAGTTTTGTTTATCCACGGCTCCTTCGTTCCTTCCGGCAGCGTAACGTGACAGAAGACCCGACCAAGAAACAGTTAACCTTGCATGTTTCCCTGATGGATCACCTTGCCGCAAAGTTCACCGCCCTCGCCCGCAAAGACCTTTCCCTTTTGGAATATGCGGTTGAGTTTAGCCAGCTCACCATTGTAACAGCGTTCGACGATGCTGCGCTGAACTCACTGTTCTGGATCGGGGCTAACTACTACCGCCCCGTCAACCTCCCAGACACCACCGGACTGAGCTGGAGGGAGGCTATCATCTGGTGTCTGGAAAGAGTCTACCCCCGATCCAGAACACAGCCAGACCCAGAGCCCAGCCCACCATCACCCCGCTGCGCGGAGCTTAAGCCCGAGCCCACCGATGACGGAGAGCCAGAGCCCGCCGCGACCGACAAGCCATCACCAGAGAGAGCAACAGTGCTGAGGATCGCCCCGGAGCCCCGAGCCTGTGATGTCAGACCAGGTGCGAGAGCCGGCTACAGAGCTCGCCACAGGGGGAGAGCATCATGGACAGTGAGAGCGCGGAGAGGAGCTCTGCCCGCTGCACCGTGGCTGAGGGTGAGTAATCAATGGATCTGAGAATGTGGAAGGCTGAAAGGGCTCCTGTTCCTGAGTTTAGCCCAGAGAGGGCTCCAGTTCCTGAGTTTAGCCCGAGTGGGCTCTTGTTTCCCGTACTACCCAGAGAGTGACTCAGTTCATGCAATTTGGTGTGTGTGTGTGTGTGCGGGCAGCGCACACCAGCCCTGAACCTACCTCAGAAGACCACCCACCCTCCCGCTCCTGCTTCCTCCACCGCTGTCGTCTGGCAGCCCCTCTGCTTGCCCTCAGCCCACCATCTGTTCGGTGCGAGTTCCGCGGGACTGCCATCCTCCAGCGTTGCCGTGGCTGGAGTATCCCTTGACTCCGCCTCCAGCCTCTAAGCCCCGGACTCCACCTCGGCTCGTTGACCCTTCGGATCCACCATGGCTCCTAGCTCCCTCCTCTCCGTCGTGGCCCATCAGTCCACTGGCTCCACCGGGCTCCCTCATCCCTCCGGCTCACCTTGGTCTGTCGTCAACCATCTGTCACCTCGGGACTCCACTCCTCCGGCTGCACCTCATGTCCCTCCGTCTCTGTCAGGCTCCTCCATCCCTTCGGCTCCTCCTCAGTCCTCTGTCGCTCCGGCTCCACCGCGGCCTTCTGGATCCCCGCCTCTACCTCGGTCGCCGGCTCCATCTGCTCTGCCTTGGCAACCATCCGTCTTGTTGGATTCATCCGTCTTGTGACAATATCCTGTGCAATGAAGCCTGTGATTGCCCTTATCTTTTGCTTCAACCATGGAACTTTATACAAGTTTATATATTTATTCAATATCGCGTTTGTGTGTAATTGGCAGTAAGCAGAATATGGCTGTCTCTAGTGCAAACAAATGCCAAAAGTGAATTGCACTGACTTTCACGAGAAGTGAATCCAAATGACGCTTTGCTGATGCTCTCCACACGTTCCCTGAGATTGGCTGTTTGCTGCACGTGTCACATGTTCAGGTGCACGTGCTTCAGAGTTAATCACAAACTCTGGTTCAAACTCTGAGTTGGGAGAGAAGGTTTATATCGAGCTTTGTGAGCCCAGTGAACCTGATCTAAACCAGGTTGGCTTTATCGGGTTTTGTCAACCCAAAACTTACTCTACAACTCTGAGCTTGTTCATTTCGCTTCATGCTACAGGGGCCTGTATCATGATGATGGCTGAACAAACTCGGGGTTACAGGATTAGTTTTGACTTGACAAAACCAAACCAATCCAATCCGGCTTTGTTGGTACAATGAAGCTGATCATCAACTTTCTCTGTCAACTCAGGCTTGATCCTGAGTTAACGGAGCATGTGCACATGAAAGAGTGACATCTATAATGAACAGTCAATCACATGCCTTGAAACTGTGATTCACTTCTCGTGAGAGAGGCAGTGCGATTCACTACCAAAGATTAAAAGATTGAACAATATGAAGAATTTAAACACATTTACAAGATGAAACGATCTATCCATGAAAGAGGAAAACTTTAAGAAAACATCTTGCCATATAAGTCCAAGTAAAAGTTGTAAAGTTAGTTTATAGAGTTGATAATATTTATAGGTATAAAAACACTTAAAAATCTAAGCTCATATGTAGTCATGTTTAAAGCTATTGATTCTAAAACCTATTTATATTGCATATTATCTATATGTTTATATTAATTTAAAATAAAAGCTCAATAATTACTATTAAACTAAGCTAGCTTGTGTAATGGATTAAGGTTATAATAATTATATAAATCATAAAATAATTGTAAAAAATAATAATCTCTAAAAATCTGACAATTTTATCTTTAAAAATGTTTTACTATGTAGCGTCCTTTAATTTGGAGTAAGAGAAACTGGGGGAGCAGCTTTATTGCATCAGAGATGTGTTACTTTGTTTGAAGCTGATTGGTCAAATTTTGGTTTGAGATCTCTAAACCAGGGGCCCATTCTTTGTACGTCGCTAACTAAGTTAGCTAGATTTGATTGTTGACGATTTGGCATGATCTTGGATTGTTTGGTTCTTCAAAGCTCATCCCGGAGTTGCTGTCATAGCAACAGGTCCGTAAGCTTAAACCTTCTCGGGAGCAGGTTTATTTCATGTAAACAGGATTAGAATTAATCTTTTTAAGCAGAATTCTGTCCACTACCACTGCCACTTTATTACAAGAGTATCCTACTGATCAACTGAATAATTTAAAATAATAATATTTTAAAAATGAATTTAAAGATAATATAATAATGGTGTGTAGTCTTTATTACTATAGACACAGCCAGTCTTACTCACTGAAAGATTTATTCGTCATAAAATTATTACTTCATAATTATATTAGAGTCTTACACACATGCGATACAGATAATGTAGAGGCGTGCATTAATTTGAGTGGTGACCGATATTAATAAATCTGTTCAAGTATAAAATTAAATGAATTGCTAATTACTACATTGAAATAAAAATGTAAAGCCTGTACAAATATTAGAAATCGTGAATATTAATGATTGGGAATCATGTAAAAAATTCAAATAAAATAAAAACAGTTCAAATTTCATTTAGCTATTATAATATTTATGTAGTTTTGTTCGCTTGACTGTTTCCTTATAAAAGTCCAGAAATTTGTCAAGTTTTTTGTCAGGTGTCTTTTTTAATTATATGACGTCATTATGTTGCTGTCTTGCTGCCAGCTAATCGCTGCATTGCTGATCGTGGTTTCGAGTATCGATACCTAACCTCTTTTTAAACCAACCCATGAATGCGCAATTACCTCAGATAACTCAATCCAGCCATACTAATCATCAACAACAGGTGCATTCGAAGAACCGAATTAGACAGATCCCAATTAGCGTGATGATATCATCTTGGATGTGACATTTCATCTCGCATGTAATAAGCGACGTATGAAGAACGGGCCCCAGAACATAAACCTGCCCCAGAGCAGGTTAGCTGTGGAGTGCAAGTTACTAAGGCAATGAATGCAGCTAAAAGCCAAGCTACTTTCATGGTACCTAAAACCCAGGATTGGTGCAAACTAAACTGAAACTTACCTGGCTAGCCAGCTAAACCAGCTTCATGGTACAGGCCCCAGGCCGCTGATCTCCTCTCCTGTCTTGTTTTGTTCCTTTGACCTAGTTTTCCTGAGTTTCCCTGATTAGTTCATTCTGTTCACCTGTGTTAATTTATTAAGTCATTTAGTCCCTCTTTTTCTTTTGTATAAGGAGTCCCTGTTTCTGTTGAGTCCTAGCCGGTTATTGATGATGTTAAGTTGATGTTGTGCTACCCCATGCTCCTGGATACTTTTTGTTTATTCTGTGTGGATTTATTATTAAAAGACTGCGTTTTGGATTACCTCTTGTGTCGTGCTCTTTGATTATAGTGCCAGCACGTAACACAATCCCAGAGAAAAGAGGGACTAAAATGCTTTTCATATATGTGAAAACTATCACCTAATTCGAATTAAAACTATAGTATATAGTAACAATTGTGTCTGAAACAGGGTTGACAAAAATACCAAAACATGAGGTAGAAAAATAATAGTCGTAAAATAAGAAATGACATAGCCTGAGATGGCACAATACAATTTCTTGTCATTTTAAGGTGTCTTCATTTCATGGATATTTAAAAAATGTTGATTAAACTTATTTTATTTTTTAATTCTTCCTAGTGGAAAAGGCACCGATTTCATGAGATGACCCATAATATTAAGGGAAATGATCGCGGACAGAATTTTTGTAATAAGTGTGCAGCCTTAAAAAGCAAAGCAAATTAGTTTGCTTAAAAGCTAGTCTTTTTAATGATTACATTCTTTAGAAAATGTTAAAATATTTAACGTGTAACTATTTCAAATGTCAAAATATTAAAATCAATTAAATCTCTCCTGTGTGAACATACACACACACAAAAGTAAAACAGCCCATGTTTATACATTATTAGAATAAGGGAGATGCTGGGAAAGGCAGACAGAAGGAGAAACTACACTGAACAAAATTATAAACGCAACACTTTTGTTTTTGCCGTGTATTTAATAATGGCATTATGTAGAGTGTCGCTAAAGGTGAGGTTATTTGACAACTGTGAGTTGGTCTTTTTTTTTTTTTGGCTAAGCACCAGCAGGACAAAAATGTATCTGTATTCTACAATTACCAACCACCTAACTTTTTTTCTACAAAAAACCAACCACCTATATTTCTTAGTGACTTAAAGAATCCAAAGTTGCTTATTATAAGTGGAACTATATGTATTGACTGATATAAAAGTGAAAACAGTAAGAATAGCTTATAGAAACAGAAAATTTTTTGCTGTATAAAACAGTGTTTAAAAATAAGACTTTTCTTTGATTTTTGTCTCACTATGACCCTCTAGTTTCATAAAAAAAATCATGTTTCCAACTCACTCATCTGTGATCTGATGTCATCTCTCTGTTTTTTCATCCTCTTCATTCGTTCTTCTGCTCTCTCTTCCTCTGCTCTTCTTCTCTCATTCATCTCCTGTAAAATCTTTCTGTCTATTTCAAAATGGCTGCCGTTGTTTTGTGCCACTGTCTCCTCAATCTTCTCCAGCAGCTCCTTGATCTGAGTGTGGTCACTCCTGTTCTGATTCTTGAGAACATGATATCTGTTCCCACATTTGTCCAGCAGGCACTGGAGATCCTGCCCTTCACTCTCAATGTGCTGCTCTATAGATGTGTCTAACAGAGAGTCTCCATGAGTGAACAGCACTATAGTGTGACTCCAGACTCTCTCACCGAGAAGATCCAGATGCCCCAGCAATGCTTTTCTGTCAGTCTCTTTAAATCTAGAGTGGACACGTATGATCAGTAATAGAGCATGTGGTCCTGGAGGACACAGGGACACACTGAGCAAAATCTCCTGTTTCAGGAATTCAGAGCTGTACTCTACAGAATAAGTCCTCCACCATCCTGGAGCTTCAATGACAGTGATATGTCTGTCTGCTACTTCTCCATGTCTCCTCACACACTGAGCAAATCTCTTCAAGTCAAACTCATCTCTGCCCAGGATGTTGTTTCCTGTTGAACTCTTACCAGCTCTTTTATACCCCATTAATACAATCCTCAACTCTGAGAGATGTTGGGCATCACCTGCAACAAATAGAGAACAAAACACCCTTTTCCAAATTTTATTTCACTTAGTATCTGTAAATCCCTAAAATTATAAACAATGTACATGAAAAGTAAAGTATAGTTTTTAAGAGGTCATCAGATGCCCGTTTTCCCCAAGTTGATATGATTCTTTAGGGTCTTAATGAAAAGTCTATAACATACTTTGGTTAAAATTTCTCAATGGTAGTGTAAAAAACACCCTTTTTACCTTGTCAAAATCAGTTCTGCAGAAATCAACCCATTTTTTGCATGTTGCTTTAAATGCTAATGAGCTCTGCTCACCCTGCCCCTCTCTTCTGTGGGGTGACGAACCGTGCTCTGAGAAATTGTTTACTTTAGCCACATTTAGCCATGAAACTTGCTAACTAGCACGTTATTAGGAATAGCGATTGCAAAGATTCATTAAAGAAAAAACTTATACTCACTTCTGCTGTAAGTGAAGCTGGATCACGAATGATTTGTGCGAACATAGACGCATTTAGATAGATCGGGGGCACATTCCCTTCAAAAGTAATCCACTGCGTCTTCAGCGGCTCAGACGTTGGGAGTAAATGACAACTGCCATGTTCATTATTACATCCAACAACAAAACACCTCAATCGCTATGGAGCCATTCTTGTCTACATCTGCTCCGGCGGTGAAACAATGGCGGTCGGACTGTTACAGCTCACTCAGGGCGGGTCTAAGGTAAGAAGGCAGTGTCGATCAACTATCGTGGGAGCTGCCTGGGTCCGTGTGACGTCACACAGACAAGAAGCTGAGAACAGCCTGATTTGAAAACGGGGATATTATTTTTAGTGATTAAATAAAAACTACTGGGTGGATTTTTATCATTATAGGGTAGATGTGTACACACACTGCCAAAACACATTTATGTTCAAACACCATGTAAAAGTGAATTTAGCATCCAATGACCCCTTTAAAGCATTTTTGCCGAGCAAACACCAGCTTAAATATATATATTAATTATAGTGTATTGTTGTATGTAAACCTGCTCTCTTGATTGCTCAAGACAAATTTCTCCTTAGGAAGACAATAAAGGATAAACTAACCAACTCTCCCTAGTCTCATGACAAAAACATACCTGTGGGAACTTTTTTGCAAGACGCGAAATACGTACCAATAAGTACATATCACTGCAGTTTCAGATATAAATTAACACTGGGGCAGTAAAACAGCACACACTGTTAATATTCTCATGCTGAACAACACAATTACTGTATTTGCATTACTGTTAAAGGTAGGTTTAGGGTTGAAGTAGGTGTAGGCATTAATAAAGCATAATCTGAGGGGTAGCATTTTTTTATTGTGGAATTGTGCTACCTACTGTTTAAATGGGAGGTAACAAAATCTGACAGGGTAGCACAAATCGTCAGAATACCGGACATAGCAGGCTTACTCGGTAGCTCAGCTGGCACTGAATCAGAATTAGGAAGCAGAATCTTTGAGTTCGAATCCTGTGAAAAACAGGATGCACAATAAAATAGCTCAAAGATGAGAGATTAAAAAACAAGCTATAATGGCGTGCTTGCGATTATGTTCTTATGTCATATTCGCTTTTGTTCATACTATCGGTTGGTTTAGGTGTAGTGCAGATGGTACGTTATTTTAAAACGTCAGAGTTATAGTGCCACTCAATGGACATTTCAAGTCTGAACTGCGGTGACACCTACAAAATCAACGTCATATAAAATGTACAATATGTACGATCATCTATTCCGGGGGAAAAAAAACTGAACACCCTTTTAGAGCCACTCAGTGGACATTTCACATCGAATATATCACAAAACGTGGCGCTACGTATTTCGCATCTTGCAAAAAAGTTCCCACAGGTACGTTTTCGTCATGAGACTAGGTTTAACTAACCAGATGTTAGCTGTTGGATTTATAATTTTCGGAAATAAAATCTTTAGGTATGTTTATATTTTACATTACATTAGGTATGTTTATATTTAACATAATTTTTTTTCTATCCAAATTAATCCAATCTTTAAATGAACCCTAAACTTTGCAGTTTGATTCAGCACATGCGCAGTGGTCAGTCGCCACACTCAGAACTGGAGAAGCCACCGCGATAATGTCACCGGAGCTACCGTGAGTAAAATTGTCATTATTGCTTTGATGACATATGTAAAAAGAAAACTAATATGTTAGAAGTTCACTTCTAAAAAGCACTTCCATTAGTCACTGAAAACCTAGTCATTTTAACAGATTAATACAGACATTATTGAATATTGTTATTGAAGATCGATTTGTCAGTATAAATTGTGTCTAAACCCTTTATAAGTAAATCTCTCTTTGAAAAGGGGGGTTACTGAGATAAAAAATATTGTAGGCCTTTTTGGATGGTGCAATGTTAAAAAAAATCTCTTTGTTTATTTATTACAATGGATGATTTTGCTTCAAATGGTTAATAATAATTTCATTTACATTATCATTTTTGTTGCACTGTTTATAACACAGGTAAATTTCTTATGAATGGAGTTCATATCTTAATATATTTTTATATTATTTGTATATTAATATTATTTTCTAACTCATGTAAAAAGTTTTCTATTTAGTGCAAACTGTTATGAGCCCTTCTATTGGTACTGACTCTACAATTTTTAGTTCCTTTGTTGATACATTTCATCAGTTTGCTGTTGCTAGGAGAAACTTTCTTTCTATAACATACTGAAGCCTGATTTGATAACGTTCATGCAGCAGCATAAACAAATGGCATTTCAGCCCACCAAAATGGGCTGAGCCGTCTGTCTACTAGGGATGTAACAATATCAAAATTTCACGATATGATAATATTGCGATATGAAGTCCAAGATACGATATTTAACACAATATTTAAAAAAAAAAATTTGTACATTTTAGTTAAATTAAGTTAAATTCTTCTATTTAATGCACTTTGAGAGTTCAAAATTAAGAGCTCCAACCCATGTTAACTAAGAAAACTTTAGTCAGAAAAAAGTCAGGGAATTAGCTTTTACCTGAACTTGAAAGGGGACTCAACCATCTTTTTATTTATGATATACTGTTTAGTCTAAATTACATTAACACTGGTGTTTTAGGAAGCCAAATAAATTAGAATATAATAATAATAACAATGACAGTAATAGCATATATTGTAAAACAATTTAACTGTAAAATAAATGAAAATGATTATTTAATAGATATATTATTTTTGATTTACACTACAGTATGAAAATTACAATACTTCTTTCCTAATTTCTACACTTGAAAGAGATATTTTGAATTAGGACTGCATTTAAACCGCTAGCTGTCAGCAATTCATATTGCACTTTTAAGCTTTTATTTTGACGGAAACGGCAGTAGAGCTTTTGTTATGATAGAAATCTCCAGCTTCAGTGAAAACAGGTTTTACAAAAATGCGTCTCACTACAAATCGTACTCGGTTACTAACGTAACCTCGGTTCCCTGAGATACGGGAACGAGTACTGCGTCTTGCTAGACGCATATGGGAAAAAGCCTTTTTTCTCCTGAACTGAATACTTTTTTCCATTCATCGGCCATTGGTTCGTGCAGTGTATTAAAAATGAACCAATGGCTAGGCAGCGGAGCTGCACAAGCCTATGGCGACAAAGCCCGGCAGAATGGGCAGGACATCTGGCTTTATAAGCGAGCGTTCACCACAGGATTCTCAGGTCACTTTGACTGAAGCGATGACGTATCTCAGGGAACCGAGGTTACGTTAGTAACCGAGTACATTCACTTTCGATACTACACTCGTAGTGCGTCTTGCTAGACACATATGAGAACACAGTACAATCACGCCATGCTAATGTAGTGGAATGACTAAAGGTATCAAACTTCCATAAGCAACCAATGCCCATAGAGAAGTTAACAACAACCAAAGGCTAAGACGGGCTGAACTTCCTCAATGAGGTCACACCCGGCCTGGTTAATCGTTCCAGAGTACTCCTGTAACTTCGACACCCAGGGGTCGAGAGCTAACAGGTGAACTAATGCCAGAGAGCTTGAGCGTTATACGGCCAAGGGCTCTCTGCCAGATCTGTTTACGCAGCGCATGTCACTTCAAGCGGAAAGGACCCTGGCCTGCAAGGCCAGAATTTCCAGGTTAAAAAAACCTTGCGAATGTGGATGGCGAGGCCCAGCCGGCCGCCTCACAAATATCCGCAATGGACACACCACTGGACCATGCCCAAGATGAGGCGATGCCTCTAGTCGAGTGGGCCCGTACTCCAATGGGGCATTGAAGGCCCAAAGAAGAGTACGCTAGCAAGATGGAGTCTACTATCCATCTAGAGAGTCTTTGCTTCATGACCGGAAGCCCTTTGGTGCGGTTACCGAAGCTGACAAAGAGTTGTTCCGACCACATATAGGGGCGGAATGCTCAATATAGATTCTCAGAGCTCTGACGGGGCAGAGCAGAGATGGCTCTCTGTCCTCTTCAGAGGGA